GGGGGGGGGGGGGGAAACTGGGGGGCCAACAAATTTTCTAAAGGGAATTCCCCCATGTCCCTCTGTAGTGCCGCCACTGCACATTGAAAGCAAATAAAAGAAGCACTAGACATGATTCATATCATAGTACATTGAGTTTTAATTCATAATACTACTGATAATTGTTCAACTCACAATCCATGAACGATCGAGAAAGAAATGTTACCGATGTGAGTTAGCCAGATTTTTGTACATTTCGCAAAATAAAGGAAATATGTTTTTTTTAATGGTGAGGCAGCGAAATAGATGCGGGAGGTGACAAGAAACTAGTATTATTATTATTTTTATTTTTTTTGCTTGGCCTTATATGTTGAAAAATATTTGGGAATATTGTTTTTGAAAAGTGATCTTTCTTAATTCACTCCATATATAAATTGAAAGGAATTGTTTTACTGCCGTATAAACTAATTCGGACCAACCGGCCTTCGGCGACTATCTGGAACTACTTTGTTTACGCGTATGCATCCTTCTGAAATGACATTGTGAAATGTGCCGATGCAGTTCAGTAGATATTAGATGTTATACCAAAGATCTTATAAGATCTTTGGTTATACGTATAGTAAATTGGTGGCGCTATACAACTAATTGGTTTACGATGGTCATTGCTAACACGTGGTGTTTTGACACAATTTTTCCGTGAGTGGTACAATTGTGTCATAATACCACGCGTGCTGGTGATTGTTTTTGTTGGGGGGTTGCAATTTACATGGCATTCGCGATCGAGCATTACTATTCCTTCAATAATGAATAATGAATTAAAACAAAAAAGTGAGTAATCAAATGTTTTATGAAAGCCTATTTATACACATAACTATAATAAATCAGGAATGAATAACATAAAATTAGGTAAGTCAGGGAATAGTGAAAAAGGGGCCTTAGGCTTAGGCCTAGCCTAGACTTGTCAGGTTGTGATTTCGGATGGGAGACAAAACATATTGTCTGAGGCTGCCTAGGACCGCTGCGCCCTTGATGTCTTGATATCATGGATCTCATTCACAGTATACCCTGCTATCCTATACAAATACTTATCTTTAAAATTGTTATGTAATTTGTACCTCATCGTTGCATTTGGCAAATTGGTTCAGCAGGCCTGATACCCCTGGTCCTCGACTCTTTTGACACCTACCTAGCCTAGTCCTAGCTAGGCCTAGGCCTCATATCGTCGCTCACATCACGAACTAACACAATTACATTCAATTGTGTTAGTTCGTGAAATCAAAAAAGCGCGTCAAAATACGCGCTGTTGTCGTTAAGGACTTTTTGTGTGGTAAAGAATACAAAATTGCTTGACAACCAATACGCGCTCGTTTTGACGCGCTACTGTGATTTCACGAACTAACACAATCTACTTCGATTGTGTTAGTTCGTGATGTGAGCGACGATATATACGGTAGCCTGCTATAGGGTAGGCCCTAGATCCTAGCCAACAGCAAATATACATTACTCATTTTTTCTAGAATCTTTTTTTTTTTTTGTATATTTGACTAATTTTTTTTTTTTCCCACATTTGCTTTTTCAAATATAAAACAAGGGAGCAGTGTTCTCTGGTAATAAAACCCTGGTCGACTAACTCTTCTGAATACTACTTTATGTGCTGTGTCGTAGTCGCCCTAAAAAACGAAAACAGCAAATTTGGTGTAGTATGCGAACTTGACCATCTTGGCGTTGCCGTCACGCTCCATTAGTTCGTAGTAGACTGGCCTCGTAGTCGGGACGAAAAATTCCTAATGACGTACTTTCGTACGAAGTATACGAAGACATACCGTGATTGTACGGACGTAAAAAAAACGACTGAGTTGTGAAAATGGTGTTTATCATACATAACTTACCATGCACATCGTGTGACGCGTTTCTCGCTTATTGTGGCATCGACACTGATTGTGAAGCCTGGACAGTAGGTTTCTAATACAATTTGCCCTCCAACTCGAAGCCCTTTTTTCAAAGACAAGTACCGGTACCAACTAACTAACAAACTTTAATCCTTTTACCCTATAATTGTAGACCGAGCCCGGAGACCACCCAACATTTTCAGGTCCCAAAGATTGTCACGAATTGGAGGTTTGAATATTAATATTAATTTCAATTTAGTTAATTTCAATTTTAGAATATCATTGACCTGATTCCCTTCAAGCTGATGACCGAATTCGATGCAAACCCATGTTTCTTCACGGGTATTGCCTCTTAAAATTGCTTTACAACAGACCTGGTACAGGTTTACCGGGTTGTCCAGACACGAATGAGAAGCAAATTACTGTACGAGCTAGTCCACACTTTTGCATACATTGCATATTTATTTATATACTTTACTGTGTTATTAGGCCTATGAATGTGGCCTATAATTGTAATAACAATAATCTTATAGGTATTTCAGCGTCAACTCTCTATAGAATCTGTAGATTTCTACCAATCTTGCCAAAATTACATGTCTGGATTTGGTAATTTGAGTGACGAGTTTTGGCTCGGAAACAAGATAATCCACAAAAGTATGAACTTCGGATAGCTATGGTAGATAGTGATCCGGGGGTAATAATGTTCAAGCGCCTCGAGGTTGTCAACGTGAAGCGCTATATAAATCCAGAATTATTATTATATTATTTCCACGTCACCTACGAGTCAATTGAGATTGGAAGTGAAGCTGAAAACTTTAGAGTGGATTTCGGTAAGGGCCATATTGTTATATAACTATTATTTTGATTATACAGGTCTCCCTCCAATATAAGACTTCTCCAATTAAAGACCACCTCTAATTAAGGACCACTTTCCTGAACGCCTATAGTCTTTTATCATTAGCTGTTTCCTCTAATTTAAGACTCCCTTCCTATTAGAGACCAAAGACTATGGTTTTGGCGGACCCAACTGGAAATTTTCCCTATAATTAAAGACCACTATTAAAATAAATAGTGATAATGCATTTATTCTATAATAAATTTTGTTATTCATTCATTCATTATTCATTATTCTTTATTTCAGACTTTACATCCATAGTTAAACATCGTCAACTTAACTAATAATAATATAAATACAAGGGGAAAATAAACCACACATGATCCTTAGAAATTATGGATTAACATAAAGAAGTTCGTTCCATCTTTTTGAGAGCCTAGAACTTTCAAAACATCCATTTACAGAACGAACTTGACTTGAACATAAAAATATTAGCCAATGCACATCTTAAGATGATGTTTTGTGTGTGATTTGTGTATATTGAATACCGAATAGTGGTGGTGTTTTAATGTAAAGTGGTATTTTAATGTAAAGGTCGATAAAAAGAGTACAGGACTTGATGTCTAGTTACCAATAAATGCATTAGGCCTATTAAGAATAGATAACAACATGATGCCGTAGCCAGCTTTTGGGACAGTTGAGAAGTCCACACAATTTTTTTCTAATGGGTCCACGAAGAATGGGTCCACATTTTTAGAAATGGGTCAAAATTATATAATTTTATGCATACAATGGGTCCACTTTTTGAAAAATGAGTCCAGATTTATCGTATTAAGCCTAAAATTGGTAAAATTTAAGGAAATGGGTCCAGATTTATCATATTTTTGGGTAAGATAGGTCCACATTGTTTGAATTTTACGCAAAGTGGGTCCACCCTGATATTGTCTCGCACTGTTTGAAAATCCTGGCTAAGGTCATCAATTTTAAAACATTGATTGCATTTAGTTCTTAATTTCCCTCTAAATAGAGAAATTTAAAGACGACACATTAAGTGAATGTCTTTAATTATAAGGATTCTATTAGACACCAAAGACAGATTTTGGCAGACAAAACTGAAAATGTTCCTGTCAATTAAAGGCTACTATTAAAATATATAGAGTAGTGTTTTTGGTGCAGTTTTTTTACAGACTACAGATGTCAAAAGAATATAAATTAAGTCGATGTTTTGTGTATACACTGCTGCACATTGCACACAGTAATTTGCCTATATTTTAACAGGGGAGGATTTAGTGGGGGTGGGGCGGGCCGACCTTTGGAAGGTAAAACATAAAAAAAGGTGGGGGGGGGGGAAGAAAGACAGAAAAACAAAATTGAATGCCCAAAAGGCTTAGAGGTTATTTTCGTTCGGGCATCTGGAACACACAAAATTCGCGGACCCCTATGGTATCACTTTCGGCCCCCTTTCGGACATCTCTGGATCCGCCCCAGAATTTTATTAGACGTTATTTGACTCCTGTTGGTCCACATAAAATGATCAGCTTCATCATGATCAGCTGGAGGATGATAAACGTTTGATGTAAACCTACTGTAACGGAGCCCACTCCGTTAATATTTGTAGAGCCCACACTCCTTCAAAACAATAGAAAGTCGAAAGACGATTGATTCAAATACAGCTACGGCAAAGTAAGTTTAGAAAATCATAATTTAATGCTTCTGCATACAACGATAACACGGTATGCCATAATAAAGTAAGGTAATAAACTAAGTAGCTGATAAATCGAAGTGGTGTTTTTGGTATAACGAACATAACGAAAATAAGCATAATATATGTGTAAAAGCTCAACCGCTTCCAGTGATTCTCTTTTATTTGTCTTAATACTGATTACAGATAATTCTTTATTCGGCATCATCATCATCAGCATTATCATCATCATCATTATTATTTATAATATTATTATATTATATTATTATATTATATTGTATTATATTATTTATATTATTATTATTATAATTATTATCATCATCATAATCCTTATTATCATTATCATTACGTTATAATAGAACAAAAAGCAGGACATTAAACTATGTAAAACTGACTAAAAACAGTATTATCATAATACATCAAGATAGTTAAAACATAATCTTAAAACTGACCACACATTACTTAAATACGGACATTATGCATTATTAACTTGTATGTAAAACTACATATCGTATTTACTTTACAGTAACACTAGATTAATAGGCTACTGTATATAATTTAAAAACCCTCAGCTTTCTTACTATTTTATACATTTTGCTTCACGTGCACATGAAAAAGTAATTTGTTTAGTTTGTCTCTGTTTACTAGTTCATGGATGAATACAATACGTTATTTCTAATGAAGTTAGCAAAAGTAATAAAATCTTATTTTTAATCAATATAGGTTTTTCTGAATGTCCTTTTTTGGTAAATTTAGTTGTCAGAAGTATTCTATTGAAGCCAGAATGCATTTATTTTATCCAATATAGGTTTTGTTTGTTTAATCTCTGATCTTGAGTTGCTCTACTCGAAATAGTTAAGCATTTTTATGAACAAATCCCATTTATAGTTCTTCAAAATAGGCAAATGAAAATACAAATGCCTTGAGGCATGCTATCCTATCGACCAAATTTTCAGTAGATGTTTAAAAGGAATAAATAAAGAATACATTAATAAAGAATAAATTAATGCATGAAACCCGGAAATAAAAAAATAAACCCAAAGTAAATAAATAAATACGTTGCTGCTAAAATATGTCTACATCACAACATTACAATGCTGTAGTTTCAATTGTTCTACAATAATTAAACAATTAAGATCGTAATTTACACTATGAAATTTTAGATTCTTATATGTTATTTCAATTTTTTATGGTTTTTAAAAATATTTTATTAAAATTGTTATAAACTCAGGGGAGGGCAAGTGCCTCCCTTTTCACCAAGAAGGACGCATTATAAGATGATTATAGATGAATGAAAAGTATGAAACAAGATATTGAAATGATAGTATGGGGTGATATAGAATGGAAAACCGTAAGGTTAGGGTCCATACACTGTGCAAGTCCAAGTAGGTACGGTAGTCTTGGCTCTATGTGATGTAAGACGCATCATACCCATATTCCACTGGGCTATATTCACCCAGTCAAGCTTCGCACATTACACAAGAAGAAAGCAGATACCGTTACTTAATATAAAAAGCATGAAATTATAAAGAACCTTAACGCATTATCATTCTCTGTTTTGTTAAGATAGCTTACTAAAGATTTTTTAAATATATGGATGGCGCTACTGTTCTTAATATTTTTGAGTATTTTGTTCCAGATTTGGGGGCCTCTATAGGTAGGCCTAATTGATTGTTGGGATTTAGAGGTGTCTTGTTTGGAGTGACCAAAAATCTGATCTAGACCTTGTGTTGTAGGGAACTATTTAATTGAAAGTATTTTTTAAATGTAGTAGGGACCCTTTTTAGAAATTTGGACTCTTTTCATAAAGTTGATAAACATTGAGTGATGCTGTTTTATGGGACAATTTGTGGCCAACTTCCTGTCCCTACAGCCCAAGAAACCAGATGTTTGGTTTCGTTACATTGATGATATCTTCATAATCTGGACCCATGGTGAAGATAGTTTAAACATTTATTCGGTTCATGCATGAAATTCTTACTTTATACTATCTGGCTTTTTCTACCCTCACTCACTCGCCACTGAGGAAGGACTGGACTGTTCATGTGGTGTCCTTGCATATGACCATGGTTGCTCATCGGCTGAGTTGAAGGTGTGTAAAGGGTATCGTAGGTGTGTGCTGGGGGAAGCATCCGTGCGTACGATGTGACGTCTGTCTCTTATACACATCTAGATGTGTATAAGAGACAGTTTTTATACTTGTGGGTTGCCTCGCATTTCAGTAAGATGTAAATTCAGTAAGATTTAAATTTCAGACTGCCAATTTTTTCATAACCCGCCCTACCGATCTGCTAATAAAAACGAACCAATGAGTGACGCAAGAAATGTACTTCATTCTAAATTACAACGTATTTCAGTTTGCTTTATTCTGACGTTTTTGTTTTCATTCAAATTTAAATATCAAATTTTACTATACATTGCGTAGCATAATTTGAATTGATAATTTTAAACTCTAAACAATGTAGGAATATGCGCCTCCATAAACAACTTGATTACATTAATTGTAAAAATATCTAACTACAACGATTCTACACAACATCTCGCACAGTCGTCTTGTTCAAATATTAAACACATAAATTAGACACATACCTATTCACAATTGTATTTATCCTATTTTCAATGGTATAGTTGTAGACAAAAGGGGGCTTCAAAAGACAATGATATTTCCCTATCACCAGAATGAGTTAAGTAATAAACCCAATAGTAACATCAATTGCATTATTTATATATATCCAGAAGGCTGTCTCATGATTTTCATCCAAATAAACCAATACTTCCAGTAATCACACAATATGAATTGTGACATTTTAATTTAAAAAAATAATCCTGAATAGATTAGTTTATTAAATCAATTCCTCAAGAATTTGAAAAAAAAATAGATATATACGGTATAGGGCCTATATAATATGGTAAGCAATTGCTTATCTTAAAAATAATGAGGCTAAATGATGATGCTTTAATTTTGATAAATACTATTAAAATATTTGCTACTGTACCAATATAGAGACGAAAATGTTTTCCTCTGGTGTAGTAAATATGTTCATGGTAAGCTACCAATCAAAAAATTAAACTTCATTACAAATTCTTTTCAAGAATAAATTGAAACCATACTCAAAATCGAGTACCTAAAAAAAATATGAATTCCTTGTAAAGGATAGCACATTAAAATGGCAAGAGCGAAACTATTTACAATGATACAAGTTAATTCAACAGCCGCCATGTTATATTGAGTTATCAAAATACGGGCAATACTTCATAGCCCGGATGCCATACCCTTCCTATCCTTCACCCCCTCCCTCATCTCTATCCCCTCCCTCGTCCCATATCCCGTCTCTCATCTTTATCCCCATTCATATCCACAATCCCTATTCTTATCCACATCCCCTATCCCCTATCCCATCCCTCCTCCCTATCTCCATCCCTCAATTTTATGCCTTATAAATTCACTTAAGTGTTTCAAAAATATCATGACATGAAGACCCTATATGCTTTTTAATCATTACAGGTAGCCTAAAATAAATACTCATCCTCCACATCTTACAGGCCTACATTTCCTAATAATATACAAACTACCCGCTTTAAAGTTTACCACCGTGTTTGTAAAAACAGTTAATCCAAAATTGATTGTAGCAGGATGTTGTTACATCTCCATTGAAGTTAGAAGTAAACATAACGTTCTACAAGCTTATGGTGTTTTGTTTTAAGACAATACAAGCCTCTTGTACCATAACTTAGCCAAGTTGAATTGATAAGAAATTATTTCATAATTACAGTCTTAACACGTGGTTGTTCAAATTATTTAAAACAAAAAACTAACTGAATATATTGCAATTAGCTACATTTTACCCTGTTTACTTAAAAATTCAGAAACTAAACGAGGCACTCTTTTACTTTTGTTGTATGATAATTTCCTAAACTAATAGATTGTCCCCTTAAGATTTTCTTTAATCTCTCATAACTTATAAAAGAAATCCTCAAAATATCGCTAGGCCTCACAATTTGCTGATTGTAAATACCATGCATCTCGTATCGCTGCGATCAATGAGTTACATATTGCTTTGATACTTGTTCCATATCTTTGACCACATTGACAATGTCTCTATTTATAATATATACAGTATAAGAACTTCTTCAATGGAATGATGTAACGTCATCGATGCAAAGTGTTTCTGCTTAGCACATCTGACGGTGACGCACGCCCTCTAAAATTTCCTCATTTTGGTGGTGCACTGAATTATCTTTACTGAATACGTGGCCAGTAAGCTTGTGATGTATGGTGTCCGATGTGTGGGTCGCCTACAACATTGCTCCCTGGAACTTGAACCGGTACGGATACACCGGGAGAGATCAGTCCTAGAAGACATAACAAAAAAATCCCACTATTATATTAATGCTTAATGACAGAGATGGAGATAGTCATGAAAGAAAGACATGAGATAATCGTTATGAAATCATAAAGACAATCTTTATGCAAAGTGAAAACAAGTGAACACAATTTTGTTATGACTTACTTAGCTCCATATTAACAGTCACCATACTATGCCTTAATGTTCAAAAACAGGTTATTTTATCAGCAATCACCCCAATTGTATTTCAACACAGCAATTATTGTATTGTGTATATGATAATATATAGGGCCCTACTTAAACATTTTTTATTCTCTAGTTCAGATTGTTAAGTACTGGTTTTCTCGATTTCTTGTTATTCAAAGTTCTGTATTCGTCACTTTTATTTAAACAGGATAAATCTGTCAGTGATATAGTGATTTGCAACACGGTCCTGTTATCGAAGTACTAAGCCTCACAGTCGACAACAAGTAATATTTAAGGAACAAAGAGAAGGAAGACAAAATTGTCATCAAATTAAAATACAGTAAGATATTTTCACTTGTAAATGAATTTGAAAGCGGTAACTGACGGTAGGTATTCCATACATATCAATGGCCAAATAGCCTACATAAGGTATTTTATTTACATAATGCAGGACATAATTTAAAAAATACTATTGTGAAAATGTTTCTATGAAAAAGAGGTAGTATGGTGGTTTTCAAAAACCAATAGGTATAAGTGTGATGGTCGATATATGTGTCAAAATAATAATTAGCACTCGGGACCTCAGAAAGTCATTTGGTAGGATTTGGGTTGTTTAAATCGTGAGAGAAATGTGTTTTGGGGAGATTTAAATCCAGGAAAACCAAATTAAATTAAAGGAGTGGAATTAGTCTTAATCTTGAGAAAAAATGTTGCTTTGAGGATTTGAACACAGGACCCCGAGATTTGAAGGCGAGCATCTTACCATAGTCTCATGATTGATATGTTTTACTTACCATTGTTATTCATTGCATGACCAACGTGACTGTTCATGTGGTGTCCTTGCATATGACCATGGTTGCTCATCGGCTGAGTTGAAGGTGTGTAAAGGGTATCGTAGGTGTGTGCTGGGGGAAGCATCCGTGCGTACGATGTGACGTTGTCGCGTGGGGCTTGCATGGGCAAATTAGGTGGTGCCATCGAGAAGCTAGGCATGGTTGGTAAAGAGCTGTAGGAGTCCACTGATCGCGGTGCCATCGGGTGTGTGGAATGGCTGGTCGGCTGTGGGATTGGCTGGTAGACATGCGTGTTCATATTAGTTGGGTAGCCGGATAACTGTAGTTGACTGATGGGGGATTGTGATGGTCCATCACCACCTTGTTGTCGACGCTGGTTTCTAAGTTTCTCCTCTCGCCTCCACTTAGCTCGACGGTTTGAAAACCAAACCTAAAAAATGCAAATTATTGTTCAGGTACAGTGTACAAAAGATATATATATTTAGTTCTATGGTTCTAGGAATGATTGAAATATAAAAATGTAAAGATTATGGATAGGATCAATCGTAATTATTCAAGAATATTGTTATCAACATATAGGCCCTATCTAAAACATGAATTTATACAAAATCTTAAACGATTTCGTTGACAATATATAATTATTACCATTCTGCAATATCTTAGGCCCCTGTGTCTTATAAGGCTTATTTTTGGTACCTATGATATAAGCTAAGTAGATTATTTGAATTTAACCAGTAGATGTATTTTCTCATACGTTTATGTTTTGTAAGTGACACTACCATGGGCACTAACCTGAATTCTAGCCTCCGGTAAGTCGATTTTCTGAGCCAGTCGCTCCCTGGCAAAGACGTCTGGGTAATGAGTTCGCTCAAATTCTAAAATCAAAGATAAGAAATGAATTGTTAACATAGAACTGAATTACATATATATACACCTGCAGCAAGTCAAAAAACAAGTCATTATTATACCTGTTCAGCTGTATGCGGTAGATGAAAGATATGATGATTCAAGTTAATCGTTGATATCGCAACGCTGTATGCCTTCATTGAGACCACGGAAAAGGTGTAATTTCGAGTTTTTATGATTGTCATGTGATAAGCACACTTTGTGATCAAAGCGGCCACTGGTTTAAGCCATTTTGTCATATGATTGCTATCACTCACACACCTGTAGTTATAGGTAGAACTTATCGTTCATACTCAAGATTAGATATACTGTATACAGAATCAATGACATTTTTGTAGTCTAAAAATTATTCAGCAATTTGTAATACATTCAACATTCTATTCGAGCATAATATGTGTGCATAATATTTCCTATTAAAGTTAGGTGAACACGTTTCATAATAATAAGCTATATCTGCTGAGTTATTACATCATACTTTATATAGGCCTATTATATATCTGTCTCTTATACACATCTATACTTGTTCCATATCTTTGACCACATTGACAATGTCTTTATTTATAATATATACAGTATAAGAACTTCTTCAATGGAATGATGTAACGTCATCGATGCAAAGTGTTTCTGCTTAGCACATCTGACGGTGACGCACTTTGTAATTTTCGTTTTAATCTCAAACGTGCTTGCGTTTCCTCGGATTCGTCGTCTCCTTTCCTTACCTCAGCTACAAAGAGAACCATGATATAATTTAGATAATTTTTTTAGCTGGTGTTTAAAGAAAGAACCAAGATAATGATACTGTTATGTCAAATCTTTACACGCGCATCTCAACACACTTCACTGATTTAGTAGATTGTTCCAAAAGTCTTTTCGCATGGGGATTTTTATTTTACATATCGGTTCTTGATATCGCATTTATTATCCATTTTTTTTTTTGGTGGATGGCGTTTAGTCATTTATTTATGGCCTTCGACACTGCAATGGGCCTATCATTGTGTTTCGCTTAACAGAGCGTGTTAATATACATTTGTAACCGCTTTTCGCATAGTTCCTTCACATCTGTAATGGAACGGTCTGTTATTCGACTGTAATGGACGACTGCAAAATGTTTACGACTGAGAAGTTTAATGATGTGAATCACAACGAACAACATTGTCGATTGCATGAAAGCATTCACATACACCATTATGGCCCTTTCTATAGTGTAATTATTTTAGGCGACATATAAGATTGCGAATTTAGGCAGATTTCATTATAAGGCTAAGTGATAATTGTTACGGCGATATTATTCAGAACCAAAGGGCGCCATCAGTGACGCTCATTGAGTTTTGGAAAATATGTAGTGGACTCTCTTGTTGTTACTAATAACGAAACGACTTAAAATGATATTCATTTTGTTTAACTGTTGAAGCACGAAACGGAAATGAAATCTCGCTTTCCCAGGTGATGGAACAGCAAAGAACTTGGTGCTGTTTGAATAGAGTTTTGTGGAACTCAAATGAGACGTAAAGTCCCAAAATGCTTATCTTAATCAGCGGCTAAATCCATCTACAATGTCACACGGTTTGTTTTCGTTTGGCCGACCATGGGTCGTCTTAGACACCTGATTGGCTGTATTTCGCCGCTGCGCCAAACTACGCAAGTGTCAAGCGAATGAAACTCGGAATTCAAGCGGGTGGAAAACTTGTTAGCTTACGCACACCTAGCGTTAGCACCAGCAAGTGCTACTGACGCTTCATTGAACCAACTTTCAATAATTATGATTCAGACTGTTGTCGAATCATATAAGATCCATATAAAAGGGCATGTCGTTCAAGGGTATCGAGTTGCTTTGTCGTCAGTAAAATATAAATAAAATATTTTGCATAATTAGAAATGAAATGTTATACGTCACTAACTACTCATCGATGTGGTTGCAGCTCAAACCGATTCATGTTGCGGTACGCGCTGACCCATCATCGGCACACACTATAAAAATTACTTGGATTAAAACATCTCCGGTACTCATCAGGCGTTCTTGTAATTAATTGAAGATTGGCAGATGCATATTATTGTTCTCCGATAGTACTAATTTGAGGCGGATCGTAGCGAATCAATAACATCTTTCCGCCTTCTTGCCTCTCGATACTACCCCATAATTTAGTCAATCAATTCAAACAAAGACTACACGCAAAGGCGCCGCGTTCAAAGGTCTTTGGTCCCCTTTAAACGTGTGTTCGCTTAATAATATCGTTCTAAAATACTTAGCGATCGATGCACTTCATATAAACATAAACGAATCATATGTTTTTTTTTCAAGAGCTGTTTTCAATAGCGTATTTGTTATATATACGCCGGCAAACATAATGTGAGCCAGTTATGAATTTCTCTAACATAAAGTGCGTTGTCGATACCGATAGTCACATGTTTACGGTACAAAATTGAAAAGAGAGTGGAAAACTTTTTTTGAGTCGAAAGCTAAGACGGTGGATACTTTTGCTTGACCGATTCTGAGCAAGCACTCAATGAAGCGAGTTTTAAGGTGTATTTTTGCTAACTCTCGTAAGGCCAATTAGTTACATTCTATGCGTTTCTTCTGACCAATTTCGTTTGATTGGGTTTAGGGTGTCAGGTTTCTGCGGATTCATTCCGCTACATTTTACATCAACAGATATACACATATTGTGGTAACAAGCTTATCGACAAAGTCTCCTCCTTACAGAATTTTCTCTCTCAATGATCTTGACTTGTTTAACTACTCATTTAGAAATTATTCGACAAAATTGATAGCATCTTTAGAAACAATTGACCAAAGCGTGTGAGAGTGGGTAATGGCCGAAGTTTGACGTTTAACTAATGACTTTTGGTTTGTAATGACCAGATGTATTGTTACTGAAGGCATAGGCCCATTATGCTTTCTGAGATCTGTTAGATGATGACATTAAATAGTGCTAGTATGATTTTCTGAACTGCTGGTGGGTTCTATCTCTGTCAATAACATTGAATTCAGTTAATCAGTGAGTTATGGGGTACTCTAAATGCCAGTTAACTTTTTTTTTAAAAACTTACATTTAATGTAGGCCTAAATTATACATCCCGCATGGTCGGTCTATGCACATAAAGTTATGTCTAAATGAGCTAGAGCAATGGCCTTAGCGCAAAGCAGAGCAAAACAATATGTGAAATACAATTAACATAGTCCTACCAGGCCTATAGAGCCTACATTTAGAAAAAAAAAAAACAGTTGTTAAAATGGATCATCATTATCCGGAATGAACCGTTCCCCCACTAAGCCCCGCCCCCTGGATTGGCTATAATGCTGAACCTAAAATTACGTAAAACATACACAAGCTGTGTGTGGGACATGTGCGTGTTCCTGGTTATTGAATGACACGATCTGATCGGTCAGTTATTAAGTTTGATTGGCACATCGGAAAGGTCCATTCCTACAGTAGTAATTACTGTACATATTAGAATTGGTTTTGTCACGTCATCCACTTGTCTGCCTTTTGTGGTTTGAGTTTGAACAATGGGCTTTCCTCTAGAAAATTACAACTCCTTTAAAAACTTCCTTAGCAGACTACAGTACTCGTAAGAAGTGCAGACGATATGACCACAGTAGATTGTGAATATTGATGGTGATAATAATTGGGTCAAGCGCAGTTCCGTTGCGAGCTTCAATGCTAGACCCCCTAAACTTGACCTTCACCTAAACCTTAAGTCTTCGATAATCCTCACCTGAGGGTGCAGCTATTTCCGATACCGTTGTTGACAGGCAAGCGGCCTAAGAAAAAAACCGGCAAAACCCGCCTTTTGTCGCGGCTGCACAATCACAGGCATAACAGATTTATTAATTGGGCTCATTTTTAACCATTGCATAATGGAGACCCCTGGCGTGCATTGTAGTTTGTGTTTTTCTTTCTATAACTACTGAATGACAATTTGTTAATCTTGATTTCCTGCCCTTGGCATTCAAGTGAATAATGAAACCAAAAGATTTATATACACAAATGGACAAACAAGCGCCTGCATGTATTCTATTAGGATCTGGAGTAGGCCTAACAAACAAACTTTGCTTGAACCATGTATCTTTTTGAACGAATCAAATTACAATAAGGAAAATATTTTCTGTTAGTTTTTGATCGAAGTAAATAAACTTCGGCAATAGTAGGCCTTCTATCATGTTCCATAGATATTATACTAATGATGCTTCATAATATGGATTAGGCCAAATCAATTAATAAACTTGTTTCTCGTTTTTTAAAGAGGATAAGCCTAATCCCTTTTGTTTTTTATCGCAAGAAACCGCTCTATACAGGTCCTAAACCGTCCTACACTTGGGGGCCTAGATACACGCAGATAAATTTTGCTTAATACCAGAATAATTGGAATCAGGTTGTTTGCCGGCCTCGTGAGACACGAAATAAAATAAGGATTCAACCTAAAATGGCTGATGGCTGGAATACAAAAAATGCTTTTGTTTATTTAAAGCCTCATGGATTTAACCCACTGTACGAATAATGGGCTTTTATGAAGTATAGATAGGCATACGACTATTAATTAGAACGTTACGCTCTCGATTGCGAGCTTAGTACAATGTGGGTGAGCATCTGGGGCCTACTTCATCTCTAGAAGCGGTCAGTGGATGTTCTGTGGTTTGGCACGCGCGTTACCGCAAACCGGCATACGTTTGCTTATTTTATGTTTGGATGGGTTATTAATTTGTTTGGTTATGTCATGGTTAAAAGTCAACTTAATATATCACCTATCGTTTGCCAATAATCAACATATTAGACGTTAAATTAAGCTCATTTTCACGCTGTTATCGATAGGGTGGTGAAGGCGATTTACCATGGTACATCACACAACAATCACAGTACATTTCACGCCGACTGAAGCCGTTGCGCTAGCCATGTAGCTCTCGTTTTCGATGCAGCGCAAGTAGCGGAAATAAATCGATATATTCGATGCAGCGATAGTGTTGTTTCTACAAAGACAAAGTGGATTGAACAATGCAATCATCGCAGACTGCCTGATAAGCAGCGACGTTTTTCAATTTTGATATTACTGAGATATAGATCGCCGTCCATTTTGGATGAGGTCACAAATACACAACAACCACTCGACCACACCGTTATTCCATTGGAAATGAATAAATAATTATTTGTTCGATAGCATTATTTTAGATACACTTTATTATTAATATTTCATTAAATAGATAAAAAATAAAGTACATGGACTGTAGGGACTTTGTGATAAATTTATGTTGGATCTTAGTTTTTAATTTATGCATTTATTTATTTTAAACAAACGGCTGTCTATCTAAATTGGCACTATATTTTCATAGATGAGTAGTTTTGAACACATTTATAAATAACCTGCCTGTTTATTATTCAAAACAAACAGACTCTCTATTCTGTACATTATCTTTTTAGCACGCAATACCTATTATTTATCTGCATTTTTTGGGGTTAAGCAAATTATTATAGGCCATTATTAGCAATTTTATTAAGGTAAAGCTCATTTTCTCTATGTGGATATGTTAGAAACACGGAACCTTATGTTGACGTTTATTTGTGTCGTACAAATGACATTTAGGAGACTTTCAATTTCATTGCTTGATATAGGCCTACTCCATTTAATATTTCTTTCGACAAACAACTTTTAACGAAATAATTTTATTGAAAAGTAAATTGTGATTCTTTGATTACTAATAATATCTAGCTTTGTATTCCGTACCAAATGAAATAAAAAACAAACATGATTTTCTATTTTTTAGATATATATTAGCGATTTAGAAAACGTTGCTTTAGGCCTCTATAATCGTTAGATCATTATCATCATTATTATTATCAAGAGTATTTAATACCATTTTTGTTATCATTATCATTAATATTTATATTTTAGTTATTGTTATTCTATATAAGAGTGGAACCTTCGAATGATGAAATATGCCCATGTGCAGAGGCATGGGTAAGAATTCTTAACTCCGAACATAGACCCATACTCATATAGATGAGTCTAAATATAGGCCTAATGGTTTTTTGACCATGGATACCGAACCAAGTAGCTGTTGAAAACATATTCTAAATTATACATTGTACTTACAGTAATAAGTAAAATAGATAAATTACGTCATTCAACAGTCCGTGTAAGAATTAATCTCGGATTATTTTTACATTGCGCACGAAAATCTATGAAGAGGATGAAGATTGGCGCCAGAACTGTTATCTTAAGAAATGCGTATGAACGGCTAACTTCCTGTCATATTAAAGTGTGGCGTGCTTATACGCTCATCCAGCAAAATTACTCCCTTTCACAGGTAATATAGGTAAAGCAATATAACTAGACGTCCTTGATTTTCAAATTTGGACAGTTCTCCCCAGGGGCGAATGGAATATTTCTCCCTAAGAATAACTCTTCTCTTATGAAGCTATCATCTAATCAATATAAAGTGCCGTTGTAGCGAGCAGAATAATTTGCTGTTTAATTTTGATGACAACATTCCCGTAAATTATTCATATTTCTTGGATTTCCCTTGGCGCAATACGATGTTGATAAATGACTTAATGTGAATAAGTTTTAATTGCTGTAGCTTAAAGGTACAACGTCTACGCTAAAATATGTGAAACACCTTTGAAAGTCAAATATAACACTTAGGCCTATTTGCTCAATAAAGACTCGTTTCTTGTAATGAGACAGGCCTATACAAAATCAATTCAGTTTTCAGATCATCAGACATTTTATTAATACGGAAATGATATGGATTATACTAAACATATAGAAATTATATTATTTATGCGCATGTAATTTGTGATGAAATATTTTTTTAGTTTTAATTTTCGTTTGAAAGCTACTTCCTTGCTCAAAATATGAATATGAATTTTATCGTTAACATCTATTCGATACATCAGCACAGTCATGATTACCAAGAACCGTGTTCGTTCCAGGATAAGTTATTATTGTTTTTTTTTTTTGAAATTGTGAAATCTCTCTAGAGATCCTGGACCTATGTCTATTTTCCATAGGCCTATTCATGAATAACTGGCCTATTATACTTTAAGAAATTAGCATTACGTATATGATATTCATAAATTGTATTTTAACGATATTATGAAGAGGATGGTCATAAAAAGTTATGAATTATCAACAAACAGCACAATCGTAAGTACTTCAACAATTGAAGTGAAATGAAAAATATATTTCCGGTATGTTCAAATAAAAACAAATATATAGTGAACAATTAAAACAGACTTTTAAAATTGGGTAACCAACGATTCTAAAAATGTATACTTGTAAAACCCAAGTAATAAATGACTTACTTTCTTTTTTGGGGAAGACAGCTTCCGGATTCATTTGACCCATTTGACCTGGCATTCCTTGATGGGGTGTGTACCATGGGTTGCCGGGCGCACGCGGCCACTGTCCATTAATCATACGCAGTTTATCAAACATAGGGTCGTGGCCCATGTGGTTCTTTTCTGCTGCTAAATTACGAAGTACGCGGTTGATTGAAGACACCTGTAAATATAATAATTGTGAACAATTAGGCTTAAGTCTATTACTATCATCATCGTTATTATTATGATAGAAAAAAAAATGTATTCGAAGGTTTCATTGCTATCATATAAGTAAATATGTTCGATGCTTAGACTTTGTTTAAGTTCTCTTTATTGTCACGTATAATGTTTGCATAAAATTCTTTTTCCAAGACTGAAACATACATATAAATAAACTTAGGAATAAAAAATAGTTAAAAGGTGTTAAAATACAAGATATAATTAGTTAATAAAAAAATAATTAAATTAAAAGTTAAAAATTGTGTATTCATTTTGAGCCGGTTGAGCCAGGCCTGTATTTTATTTCATATATTTATATTTGATACGGTACCTGTTAAGTATAGTATTTACTGCTACTATATTTATTATTCTGTTTCTCTTGTTTAGACAATTTTTGAATAATTAAAATAATGAGAATTATAAAAACATATTAAATCTAATATTAAATGATAATGATAATATAATCATTATTTTGATAATAATAATTGTGATATTTAAAAAAAAATTAAATCATACTAAAATATTACACTTGCATATGCTTACCATAATAACTGATAAGCGATGTCAGAATCCTAACAATAATTCATCAATACATATCCGGAAAACTGATATTATTTTTGGTAACCTCGAATCAAAATCGGCACAAATTGCTTGTACATACTGAGTAGATTTATATTTATGTTGTCATGTTGCCGCAATGTTTGCGCAGCATGTCAACCGTAGTGCCCACATTGTGTCTAGTATCATGTTGAGAGTTAATGGTCCTGAAAGAACGTTAAATGCGGCGTGGCGAATGGACAGTTTTAGCATTTCGCACTCCATTAACGTAATACGGTAGAATATTTATGAATGAGGCCCTTTATATAATAACTTATTATTTTCCGTTCTGATTATTACATATTTAAATATATAATACTTTGCAAAATTCGGTATTTCGTTTAAATGATTCAATATATATACCTAACTGCGATTTTTGTTTTGATATATGAAAACTGAATACAATTTTGCGACAAATAGCACAAAAATTATTAATAATTATTTTTCTGATTATCTTATTAAATATATAGGCCTAGTTTATTAAATTAATACCATTGCGACATTACCGCTTTAATATAATTATGTTCAGATAATTAATAGATTTAGTTATTCAGGCTACAGACATAGGCCTATTTTTCAAGTCTTTATCTAGGTTTTGCAACATTTAATTAGTATTCTTGGAATAGATCTATAAATTAGGATTAGTACATTGGCCTATGGACAAACAAAAATGCCAAAAGCACGAATGATTTTACAAAACTTTGAGAATGACGGTTCCAAAACGACTAGAGGATTTGCTTTGTCCCTTTTAACGAAATAAACAACTTAAGGGGTACATTTCTGTACCTTTCAACGTTGTTTACTCTCCTGTTGTATTTCGCTAATTAGCTGATCTGTTGGGCGTGTATAAGGAGTTGTGTGTTACATAAACATGGGCGATTTTGATATTTTCCCAACGGTACTCACGAACAGACAAAGCAACCGACAAAGGGCCTTTCAACTACTCCAGCAGCAGCCTTTGATTTGTTTTGCTTCTTTCATAATACTAATTCTCACTAATATTTTCATAAGCCACTGCTGGGTCATTATTTAGAAGCTTTGTGTATCGGCAGGGCTGTTCTCTTATTGAATTGCTGTTTCTATACAAAGTAGGTTTAAAATAATTTTCAACACAGGATAGTTTCAAATTTCGAAACCATCTTGTATCAAGCATCGATAGAATGAAACCCGAGTCAAACGGTTCGTAGGTACATTTTGTTTCGACTGTTCTGTGTCTCCATAAGAATTAATTAATAGTTGATTGAAAAAACCGAGAATGGATTTATAATGTCACAGGATGACAAATACTTAGATGTTAAATGATATATGAAGTAATTAGTAGCAGCATATTTAGTTGAATATAGTAATTTAATACGAATACAATTTTTAAAAACATTTACAGATATTTTTTAGAGACAACATTAACACCATTAGCATCATAGCTCGAACGAAGACGTTAAAAACCAGATGCAGGCATATCGCGGTACGCCTGTTTCATTACTAACGTGACTATTTTCAATAAAACAGTAAATATAATTGGAACAAACACTACATTATACTGATAACTTTGAATACATATTTGCACAATATTTGTTGAATCCACAACGTAACGAACTACCGGCAACATTCGGCTTGGCGGTAATAATATTCTTGTGCACTCATCAATATTTTCGCAAGGGTAAGATGTAGTCTGAATGACGCTTATGCTCGTTTCAACACGCCAATCATAAAGACCGATGATGGTATCTAATTATGTATTCATTTCTTGGTTAACACATATGGTCATGATTGACCTTGAACCTGGGTCATGTGACACATCTTGATTTTACCTTGACGCATCTCTTGTAGTAATGAAATCATAGAAACCGTACGATGGGTTTGGATTATAAATAACATTATGAGATAAACGAATTTATCTATTTGGCCAGTAAATAATATTTAAAATTGTATTTCATTTAAAAGATTACGTATGTACTATTTAAATATCGCATAAAATTATTTATTAGGTATTTATAATTGCATTTATAACATCTATAAATTGCTATAATCGACCATAATTATTAAATATGACACTTCCGAGAGTCGTATCACAGTATATAATTTATTTTAATACTTCTCAGTAGAAACAGAGCAATAAATATAGGCTACTTACACTTGGAATTGTATCTTGCGAACATACGTTTTCGTTCAAAAGCCTATCTCGGATTTCCCAGGCGAAAATTGAGGGACATTCGCGTTTATAGATAGCTATTTTGTTAACTACCGACATGGTAGCAACACGGGGCTTACTACCACCGATGGCCCTCGGTCGAATTGAACCAGTTTCATAATAACGGCCTAGAATCTTGCTAACACATCCGTTTGACACTTGGAGTATCCTAGAGATGTCACAGGGTCTTGCACCACTGTGTGCCAACTCCACGATCTTCTGACGAGTAGAGTCGGGTAAAGGCCTTCCATTGACGAACACACCGCCGAGCTGGTTAACACCGCTGTGGCCTAAAATTTTAATAAAAATAAAAAAACTCATTACTTGTAACGATACATATCATTATGTAATTTGCTTTCTTATCAAAAAGTACATAGACCTAACATATAATAACAGTAAAAAATGTATATAAAGCTTATATAATATATGTTTAAACACATTATTTAAAGGCCTAGTTGAAACATGAACATTATATGTGGTCTATGCCTACAATTTTCATTGGAATAATGGCGTAGTGCATCTGTCATTAATATCATTTTATCATAATTATAGGCCCTATGTAAAGTAAACATTTTCCTGAAGAGATCATCATCATTGTTTTGCAGATAATTTCTAATGTCCATTGAAATTATATATTTGTAACTATTTGTGGAAAGAATCCCAGTTCATCGATTGCGTATCTGTTAGGGCTTCCCCAGTCGTTGAAGTGGAAACCAGGAAAGGACTGGTCTAGCATATAGACACAAGTAGATCCAGTGATCATAAGTTAAGTTGAAATTGGATAGGTAAGATAGCAGGAGCTTTATACGGTGGTTTATGCCTCGCTCAACGCACCGTGAAACATACGCAAAACACAATATTGATCTGCCGAATATAGTGTTAGCTATGGGTTAAAGAGAACAATTGCGGAAAATACTCTGAAGGCCTACAAATTACATAAGGTTTTTAGATAGTTCATGTAAAAGCGCCAAATTAACGTAGCGCATACGTTAAATAAAACTGATAAAGGTCTATGAATCGAAGTTTGGCATAATCTATATTTTTAAGTTTATTGAAAGTTAGGCCTGGGACTATTTTTATACATAGGCCATGGTAGCCCAAACTGTCGTTGATTAAAGCTCCTCGAACCAAAACCTAAATCCTGTTTAAATTAGATCACAACGAACTTATTGATGAATATGAATACCCAGGCATCTAATTATTTTAATCATTCAGTTGGCAGTTGTTTAGTACAATCCTTTTCAGGTATTAAGCAATATGTCATGAAATAGAATTCGTTGCCAGTAAACGTACGAAGAATACCTAAAGAACTGTGTCGCCGTCGCGACATAAGCTAATATTTCAAACCCTGTGTTTCAGAGTTTGCATACCACACAGTGCCAAAAACATAGGCCTATGTACTTTTTTTTTATAATCTACAACGTAACCCTTAGCCTTTTAAGATGGCGAAGAATGGGTCTTTCACATCAGTCAAGAGAACTTTAATCACAAAATTTAGTAGCGTACATTCCATGTACGTTTGTGTTTTCTATTGCAAAGTTTGTTAGAATGCGTTATGTGAACCAGTTGTAGACCTACAAATTTGTATTATTTTATGAACCATTAACTTGACCCTATTACTATCCTGATTATATGAATATGGTGGTTAAATGTTCACAGATCAACACAGGTACCCCTTTGTGCGTTAGTATACGCTGTTTACAGTGATGGACAGTTACAAATAATCTAAAGGGAAAATTTCAACCACAGATCATTAGGCCAAATTATTCTTAATGGGTTAGATTGGTTTTTAATTGTATTCCCAGTAAAACCAAAATACGATGCTCTACAAACTGCTATAAACAGCAATAGATAATTTTGGTTTGTTTATTACCTGTTAATTATCTTATATATAGAATGGTTCTTCTAAAGTACATATGAGAACATTTCCGAATATGTTTATCTGTAAATTCAGCCTATGGCTAACATATGTTGATACGTCGGGCGGTAAGAGGTGAAATACGAGAGTGTAGCCCTCATCAAAGGAATGAGAAGAATTTTAAATTTCGAGCAGTTCCATCTGGTGAAGAACCTAGTAAGTAGATCATCTTTGTGGTGTTCAGTCAAATCCCAACGAACTCTGAGAGAAATATATTAATACAAAGCTTGGCCTAACTTAAAAGTAATTGGCTATTACAGAACCTCCAAAAATGCTTGATATTAGGTAGCTTTAAAATTTTTAATTTAAAAAGACTTTTAGATGTTACTATTGTCATTGATTAAATAAAAACACACGCTTGTTTATATTTAACAAATTTCAATTCAAACTAATAAAATTTAGAATTATATTTAATGGATAGTGTTGTAGAGTTGGAAGATATAATAATAGTGATAGAATGGAGGTATAATTGGCGCCATGGTGTGTAGAGATGAGCGGCACCAAAAAATAAATAAGTAAGTATTATCATTATTGGACCAAGTATGTATGGATTATAATCTCTACATTTTCAGCACTCTCAGCGATCCTGGTTATCATTTATTATATTATTACTGTACTATTAGCCAGTAGCCTATGTTTTACGGTGTTGTTTTGTAGATCCTACCGGTAGATTACTTAATGCATGACTAAATTGTGTTATAATATGTAAGCATATGATATGAAAGCATATTTAACTAAAATGTTCAAAATATTAGTATATTGTAATAGGCCTAATAATAATAATAATTTATTCACTTATATTGCGCAAATTCCATAAAAATATGTTCAAATGACGCATTACAGAATAAAAATGTCAATTAAAATAGATTAAAATTGACAATTCAATTTTAGAATAAAACCATTAAAATTCCATAAAGATATGATCAAAAGACGTATTACACAATATTAAAAATTCAATTAAAATGGATAAAAATATACAATTCAATATTACAGTAAAACCATTAAAATTGAAAAGTACAGGATGTACAGTAGTAAATTCTTTGTTAAAAGCAATAGTGAAAAAATATGTTTTCAACAGTGTTTTAAAAATCTCTAGGCTACCGGCTTTCCTAATAAAAGGTGGCAGATCATTCCACAGCTTAGGTGCTGCATATTCAAATGCACAGTCCATTTTATAGAAAGGCAATTCGCGTTTATATTAATTAATTTTATGTAGATTACGGTAATGTAATGATTTGAGAAACTGGACAAAACGAAATCTTGATAAAGAAAGGTAATCCTATAC